CTGTAGGAGGACAGGCCCGGCCTAGCGCCAGGCGGCGGCCGCCGGCCGCGCCTTGCGCTGCCTGCTGCTGCTGCTGCTGCTGCTGCTGCTGCTGGTCCTCCTCCTGCTCCCTCCTCCTCCTCCTCCTCCTCCTCCTCCTCCTCCTCCTGCTCCTCCTCCCTCCTCCTCCTCCTCCTCCTCCTCCTCCTCCTCCTCCTCCTCCTCCTCCTCTTCCTGCTGCTGCTGCTGCTGCTGCTGCTGCTGCTGCTGCTGGTGCTGCTGCTGCTGCTGCTGCTGCTTCTGCTGCTGCTGCTGCTGCTGCTGCTGCTGCTGCTGTTGATCTCCTCTTGCTCTCTTCCCCCCTGCTCACAAACTGAACATATACATTACCAGTGGCGGGTTGCTTTTCAATGCCACGACTTTTTAAGGGGTCAGGGGCGACGCTGGGGTGGTGTGGTGTATACCTTTCCCCCGTCTTCCGAGGGAAACAGCGACAAATGTATACACCAGGATCTCGTCAACACCAGGATCCGCATTCCTGTGCGAGTTTCAGCGCAGGGTCGGGAAAAGCGTCGGTGTATAGAGTTCGTTTCCCGTTTCCCCCCTGCTGCTTTCCCTCCCCCCTTCCTTGGCCACGGGGCGACCTCTCGCGCAGGTCAGCAAAAGCGGTCGGCTGCGCCCCCTGCCCTCCTCTTCGGGGTTGCCGTGGGTGCCCCTCGGGCTCAGCGGCAGGGGAGATGGCAGGCGCAGGTCGGGTATACAGTCGGACCGAGGTTATGAGGTCGAGGTCGGTTCGGGGAGGGTGCCCTGAGGTTTTTCGTGCTGGTTGGACGTTCCTGCGCACCCTGGGGAGGGTGCCCTTGGGTGCTCTGTGTGCTTGGGCCGGCGGCGGGTCTCGTGTTCTGGAGGGGTGCTCTTCTGTCCTGGGTGTAGACTGTGCCCAGGCCCCCTCGTCGTGGAAAAAAACAAAAACTATACAACAAAACTGTTCCCACGCGGCGCGGCAGAGGCGATCCACTCCCGCGCTCTAGTATAGCAGGTGGGGCGGAGCGTACACATGGTTCATCTCTAATTCTTCGAAAGGTTTTTTATTTTTTTGTGGGGGGCAGGATCCTTTCATGTCTGATTGTTCTGTCGTGGGCCTCTTCCTGGCCACTAGGCGCCAGGTACAATTCGAAACGAGCACAATTAGAAATGAGCACGATGAGAAACGAACGACGTGTACTCATCGTGTGGCTGCACGAGGAAGGCAGGGCAGAGAGGGCGGCCGTCGAGCAGGAGGAGGGGGGGGGAAGGGCACTCACGGCACGCAGGTCTTCGGCACGAGTGGCCGGTTCCAGCTCCTCCTGCTCCTGCTCCTCCTGCTCCTGCCCTTCCCTCCCCTCCCCTCCTCCTCCTCCTCCTCCTCCTCCTCCTCCTCCTCCTCCTCCTCCTCCTCCTCCTCCTCCTCCTCCTCCTCCTCCCGGCTGCCGTGCACAAAAACACGACGGGAGGCTTTTCGCCATTGTCCCTCGGGGGGCCCTCACCGGGCCTCGGGGCCGTCAAACAACGATGCAGGACGAAAAGCGGGTCCCGGAGAGTGGGTCGAGGCCTTTGGGAGTCGACGCCATGACAAATTCATGACGTCCGGGGTCTGGGTCGATGGGGCATGCGGTAGGCTCGTGCCGTGTCGACCGGCGGCGACCCCGCCGCTGGTTTTCGACGCAGAGCGCAGACGGCGACCCAGGATCGGTCGATGTTGAACGATCTGACGTTTCGGAAACGGCCGATCGTGCGAGACTGAAGTCAGGAGGGGAAAAATCACACAGACACAACCAACCGTCGACTCCCCAGAAAGTACGGGAAGATATGGGCAGTGGGGGGGGGAGGCAAAAACCCAGAAGATATGGGAAAATATGGGGAATCCTGCTATTTGTGTTTACTCCAGATTTCGTAATAAAAGGGAGGGGGTCTGGACCCTCCAAGACGAGCCATTTCAGACCTCCCCCGTGGGAGAACCTCCCAAAACATCGTCCCCAGACCCCCCAGGCCCTCCAAGATAGCCTGGAAGAGACCCCCCCCGAAATGAGACCCCCCTCCCTTTATTACGAAATCTGGAGTATGTATTTGTGTGTCCCAGGGCCCCTTCAGTGAAACGATCTGACGTCTCGGAGGCGGCCGAGCGTGCGAGATGGAGCGACCCCCCCACGGTGGCAGGGCCCCGCGCCGCAGGCGGCGCGGCGCGAACTCCTCCGCACGGAGAATTGCCTGGCGTCGCTCGGACGCGTGCAGAGGAGGAGGAGGAGGAGGAGGAGGAGGAGGAGGAGGAGGAGGAGGAGGAGGAGGAGGAGGAGGGAGGAGGAGGAGGAGGAGGAGCATACCGGAGGACTCAGCGAAGAAAAAAAAAAAGCGCGCACGAGATCGAAACGAAGACACGAGGAGTGGACGCCCGAGCGACGGCAAGGAAGGGGCACAGAGGCCGACAGCATGCTCTGTTCCTCATGAGCAGGACTCGCTGTCGGTGTCGCCGCGGACGTTGTCT